GAGGAAAATTGTGTAACCGCGTGTCGGTGAAGATAACTGACCTCCCATCCTCGCCGGCCCCTTTCGCGTTCTTACCGCTGCTACCGTGGCGTTCGTCCCGCTCCATGCAGGCGCTTTCCACGGCCCTACCCCGCAGTTGCCGACAGCGCTGAAACCCCCATCGATCGTTTAGCTGGCATGCTAGCGTCACCTATCCAGCCAGGCAGTTCATCCCTTCTGTTTAAACTCTCATTTGTACTCCTCCTACGTAGTAAACCCCCTATTCCTGACATGTATATCTAGAATCGTTTGACTTTCCTATTCCTTGCCTGGATGGGAACGAGGATGCGCTTAAAATCCCTTTCCAGCCTGGCGTTAGTCAGGGATTATCTCCCCCTGTTGCCCCAACGCCTTTGGCCGCTACATTGTTTGAGTTCGGGATTCTTTGATCAATGTTAGTACTTCTAAGGTTAACTCAACGAAGAAGAAACTGCATATAAACATGCTGAATGACTGAGTGAATCAAAACCCAGTCCAGCCAACAACTAGAGAACTACAGAAGGTCGGTTCGCATTCTGGGGTGAACACCAGTGCTGCGCCCTACAGACAAAATCAATACCTGCTATTGGTTTAATAAAAGAAGATCGATGCATGGGGGCGGAAAAATGCAGCAATAAAGGACCGGTTAAGGGCAGGAGAATCCTCCAAGGGCGAAGCTCCATAAAACGGCAGCAGAGCCGCTTAAAATTTGTTACATCTGGATGTCAGTGTGGATCTAGGGTTGCACTTACTAGCTGAGAACAATGCAGAGTTTAGTTCTCATATCAGCAAACAATGCCGCACAAGACAGTGACGTACTTACACTTACGCAGCAAAGAACACAGTTGATAACTCTAAGGACAAACTATATGGCTCGCTTAACCTCAATTGGTCAAAACGGATAACAGGGAATAACGGTAGTCATTGTAATAAATGGAAACTCACTGTGCGACTCCGGTCTTAGCACCGCCGGCAAGACCAACAGGTTGTGATTAGATGTGTTAACTGCTATGAAGCAAACTTGGTCCCTAGTGTGCAGGAGATAAAATGTCAAGATACATCAAAAATGAGACCTCTAAGGAACTGTCAGTTTAAGCACCGTTCGCAAGCTTCCGGATGCAATCGGTGGCACTGACCATCATAGGTTCAAATGAAAAGCGATAATTTTCGAGTCTCCAGTCGTTAACCCTTTCCGCTCTCAAGGAAAGAAAGCATTAACATTTCAAACGGCATCCTTCATAAAGCCCCGTGCAAAAGTGCTAGTCTCCGGCTGAGCACAGCTCAAGGCAACGAGTAACATAAAAAGGTCAATATATTGGGTCACATAATAAAGCCACACAAACGCATTTGAAGACTTGAATGAAGGGTGGTGTAAAAATAACTGCAAACGTCAGGGCCCACGTAAGTTTAAAGAGTTGGTTCGTAGTAATCTTAGTCAACTAAGTGTTTCGCGATGTGCGCTTCATTCAAATACATACCTTCGCCGACCAAGTGAGGACTTGGAGAAGCAACAGTCTTGTTTTGCAGATGCGTATCATTCTGCTGTAGAAGAGGGAGAGAACAGGTTCTTAAGAGCAGAAGTAAAGCACGAGACGAAGTGGAAAGAGTGAGCTGAACGATGTCACTAAAACTGCAAAGCCGACCGACGGATGATTCTGCCCATTTCAGAAACCCATTCTAAGACGACGGGCGCGGAATGCAACGGCTAGATAAAAGTAGAAGTGGATAATCCTATTTTCGATGGAAAAGTTCAGAAATGGCGAATTAGAGGCCTCTTCATGTTTAATTCGTGCGTCCACGGCAAGGCTATCTGGAACACGGGGAAAATGCATGTCTCAGATTCATTGTTAAAGCATCCCACAGGGTGCCCAGATAACACCCAGCGTTGAGCGTTTGCATGTGCGGCTGAGGGCGGATAAGGGAACTGTTGTTGATCCTGGAAAATTCGCTGATGAACCTAGTTACAACATGGAAGCGTTGAATGAGAAATCGTCAGCCGGAAATGGAGAAAAAATAAAATACTTGTCAGCTGATGTTGGTGCCCGGAATCGCGATTCAGTGACGTAGTTCGGGGACGTTTTCAAGGCTTCCAAACACGCGCTTTAACTGATTCTCGTAATCATCAATGTTGCGTTGGAGAATTTCAAGACAGGGCCCAAGCAACCGTTCAAAACTGCCGACGTCCAAAACTGCCAGTTTAGTACGTCCAACTGCCCTTGCAGAGGCTGCTCGTGGGTGCTTCGTTAGGAGCGCAAGCTCGCCGAAGTACCCACCTTTCCGGATCCTTGTCAGTTCGGTTTCGGCTTCTTCCCCAACTTTCTTCATTGTGATTACAACTTCTCCATCCTCCACAAAGTACATTTCGTCACCTGGGTCGCCCTGTTTGATAATCAGACTGTCGTTTACATAAACTTCCGTTCGAAGTGCATCCGCGATACTCATTCTTTCGTAGGCACTGAGGCTTTCCAAAATGGGCACACGGTTTAAAAGTTCTTCGTACATCCTTCGTTTCTCAAAGGCTGACTTCAGCACAATACAGCGGAAAACTTCTCCAGTCATCACCCAACAGACACCGGGGGTAGTTGCGCGAATCGTGGCCGCACGCGGGGTATTGTACATGAGAGCAAGTTCTCCGAAAGAGCCTTTGTTGTCGTACTGTCCGACCTTCTTTGGGCCATCGCCTTTGTCGACAATGATGTCAAAGGTGCCGTTCTCGATGACATAAAAGTTGTCACCGTCTTCATTCTGTTTGATGACTTCTTCTCCAGCTTCAACTTTCCTTTCGTACATTGCGTCGATAACAGCCCGCATCTGCTCTTCTTCTAGACCTTTAAAGAGAAGGATTCCTTTCGTGGCCTGGGTTAGACGCAGACGTTGTTCTTCTGATTTTTCATGTACAACTTTCACAAACTCCACCTCCTTCTCTGGATCATAACTTTCAGCCGCAACGCCTTGACGGCGCTTGGTGCGAATAGGAGGTGCGGAGATTATGTCATCATCACTGTCGACCTCGACCGGCGGCTTTCGTTCATTTTTCTTCATTGTGAAATATTCGCAAGCGAATTCCACCAAATCCTTGGGCTTTGATCGCAGTACAGTAGTTGTGAAATCCACCAGAAGTTCACGCAGCCCGTCTGGTACGTCGATGCCTTTCTTTGCCATGATTGCTTGCAGAAATTCTCCGACGGTCACGGATAGCTTTCCTGCGAACCCCACACAAACCGACCTCCGAAGCAATTACGAACTAGATGCTAATTGGTCATTTTTGTATGTCAGTTTGCACCAATCAACATCTCGCACTGACCTTGGATGGTGATTGGCTAGTTAAGGCAATGACGACACTTGCAGCCGTGCCAGACTTATGGCCATGTCCTATTCTGATTGGTCGACGGTCCTGCCATCGCAACGGGCGGGAAAGATAGGCGTCGCTTTCGGCATACTTTACGTGACCGGCGGTTGAGTGATGTTTGACGCGTCCACAGGATTTGCACCCAGTCTCAACATCGTAACATGGCTCGTACCCACGGTCTATAATGTTAGATTACGAAAAGTGCCTCACGCCCGCAATAATTGTTATCTTTAAAGCCCTGTAAGTTATTCTGGTTAGAAAAATATTGAAGAATCGCTTGGCAACATCATTAAATGAGTTCCCGACATTCGCAATAAGCTGGCGTTGCGACTGATTGTACTGTCAAAATTAGGGTAATTGTTGGGATTTTAATATGGGGGTTAGTGTTAAGGTGATGAGAGAGGGCTTTGGGTGAGCAGGGCTAGTATTAGGATCGAAACTATGATGAGTTAGCCTACGACAAACCTTTAAGCCAATCATAACACCGAGTATGACCACAAAATTCTCCCATAACCTATGGCCTGAACCCCAGCCCCTGTCATGAATTTAATCCTAAGAGTAACCAAGGAACAGAATAAGTTTGTCAGATGTTTGTTCGAGGTGCTTTCAACTTTCCCCTATTTCCAATTGAAAAAGAGGCCAACACAAAGTGGCACCGAGTCTAGAGCATAGAACTTCCTTTCAAAAAATATTTTCGCCCCAAAGTTTGCGAGTCCAAGAGTCCCGCCAAAATCCACGCTGTTGATACGTAGAAACAGTTCAACAGAAAGCGTGGGGTAAAGTGTAAAAGTAAGGGTTCCCGACCATTACTCTTTAAGCTCGTCAAAAATGTCCTTTATTAGAGGCCCATAGCCGCGTTGCTGCTATTCACAACTAGCGTTACCCATGCACTCGGTGAGGCTTAAACTTAGAATGTCGGCTAGTCAAAGGCAGTCGAGTGCGGATGTGCTTTCATCTCCCCAGTCGGCAGAAACACCCTACTGCCCCAGCGAACCTGAAAAGTGGTGACCTTCATTCAACACTGACGGCACGCTACGTGCCTGCATGATTGTGTATCCACCCCGAACCAACGTCGTTAGTTGCACCACCCTTGTCTCTTTACGAATGCTTATTGTAAAATAGGCCTATCTCTTCATACTGCTTAGACATCACATGGTGGAAAGGGCGTTTGACGATTCAGAAATGCCTGTGAATAGTCTCTCGCACTGTCTGTGTGGAGGAGGGTGTATAATTCAATTCAGCAAAAAGGCTGAAGATTTTAGAGTTGACTTACTTGATGGCTTATGGTCAGTAATACTTGCTTGCTTGGCACCAGATTAATTCAGCGTAGCAGGAAACTGCTTTCCTTCCAAACACTTTCCAATATTCTCAAAAATTTGACACCCATGACGTCAGTGCCTGCTTAACTACTGAAAACGAGAACTCGAGACAAAAGCAGGGGAGATTGGGATGGTCGCCACGGCCGTATACACTAACATCAAACACCCATACCTCAATCGAAGAAGAACCAGCAGTTGAACATTTGTCTAGCCGGTCAGTGAGTCAGGTTACCTTCTGACACACACTCTGTCAGTCCGTGTCAGTACTATAAGTAGGAGCAAAGTTTATTGATCCGGCCTACGTGTGGTCCTCAGTTCTGAAATCAATTTAACTGGTTTGAATACTTTTAAATACTACCGAACGTGGGGTGGAATTAAATGAACAAACCCACGATCTCGTAGATCCACTTCCTGTGTTTATCTGGAACGGACTCAGCCGTTGCAGAAATGCACGAATAGGATTTCAAGTAGAAAGCATTACTGTGTACGTTAGCAGATTTAAGCAATTTAGATGTAAAAATGGCAGCGGCCTCCGCAAAATTCAGGCTCACGCGAGCAAGGACAAAACTAGAGTAAAACTAACAATAACCGGCTCAGCTACGAGGCCCTGATCAAGATCCTCGCGTTCTTCCACACCATATAAAATCCTCCAATTTCAATACAGTTGGCTAATTGCCCAGGTCGACTTTCGTAAAAAGTTAATCAAGAATCCATCATAGTGCTGCCAGGTGAAAACTGGTAAATCCGGGTGATATAGTACTTAAAGCAGGTTACGCTATTGATGAGCTTAGCGAATACTTTCATGCAAGGTCATGCATCGTTATATGCTTACTCGGAGTGAAAAGGCCTCATACGCATTTTTGTGTTCTCCTTTTCAACAAAACTTTTCGAATAGAATGGTTCATAGTCTGGACTTATGCAAAATCAAGTCTTCTACCTTCCGAAAAATTCAGTAATGGTCTACTTCTCATGGCCAGTTTGCAGCAAATATTTTCTTCTTTAGTTTGGCTTTAAGCAAGAAATTAATGTACGCACAGCCTATTATAATACGACACTTTAGATGGTTCGGACTATCCCTCACACCACATAGATCACGAACATTTCCGTCTCCAAAAACGCTATTTGCTTCCTGGATTTCTTTTAGGGTATAGCATCCGAACTGGTTGATATGTGTTCAACCAGGTTTTACTGCCTCCCTGTCAACGTGAGCTTTATGGGGACGTGAGGTTCCAGTTGCCCCCCACCGTAGTTTGGCACGTTTGGCGAGGAAAAGGCCTTGTTTGGCCTTGAGAGCCACCGTGTCCGAGCCCATCCCCTGTTGTCTAGACACCGTCCTGCCATCGGAGTCTGGACGTTGAAGAGGCAGTTTACGCGCAGGTCTTCCTCACCTAACTTTCGAACTTCGTCGCCGGCGATGTCCTCCATGTGCTCCAGGGTAAGGTGATGCAGGCACGGTGACCTGAACGTGAATTAGTCTATGGTGAGAGTAGACTTGTGCAGCATCTACCGCACTCTCCCCTCCTCCCCACCTGGGGCCGGTGCCAAGACATAGTCAAGATGACCGGAGGCGGCAGAGGGTGTAAGTGGCTGGCACGGCCGGACCCGGATCTAGTAGTACCATCGTACACCCTGGTCCACAACAAACACTCGACCAGGATGTTAGTCAACAATGAAATAAGCAGGTCAGAAATGAGGAGTGCAGCGTATCCTGCCCGGGCCGTCAGGACATCATGCCACAAACGCGTGACAAACGAACGATCAAGGTCATGGCCCCTGTTCATACCGTCTTTGTGCCGATTGGCCACCCATCAGCCTTTGCATACATAACAAGGAGGTCGGGTGGGAAATCATGCACACGACCTGTATACTCAGCGGAAGCACAAGCGCATCTACCGGCAGGGAATCAGGCGCCAGAGAACTTCCAGCGCACACCAGGCTGCGAGGGCATGGTTAACTGAATCATGGCATAGCAGACGTATACAATCCTTAGGATTCAGAAGTGGGAGAGTCAGCCCTGCATTTAGTCTGGGTCATCACCATTCAAAAGCCGGGTAGCCAGTCGGTCATCGACGGAGAGACACTACCCATGTACACTCACATCCACTCGTCACATGCGTACGATTTCCTGGGGTCGCATCAAGATGGAACCATTGCAGCCCGACTGTCAGTCCATCAAGTCGCCACTCCACACAAACACGCACACCTCGGCTGACTGCACGGACTGAGCTGAGGCGCCAGTCAGCAGCCCTCCATGCCACAGCGTTTGGCGAACTGTGGTAGTCTCAAATTCGGAGCATACATGCAGCAAAGTAGACGCATGGAAATGGAGCGTGAGAACATGTGGCGACTAGCCAACCTGACTGGTCTGGCGTCATTGGCCACCACTTGAGTTTGGTCTACGAGCCTACAAAAGCGGCTGCCACCATTATCTCAGGGACTCTCAGGCCTGACTGGACGCAGTCAACACCAGCCCCGGCTTCGCCAGTGGCCACTGCCGCCTGAGAGGACAACACCGGGTTCTGTGCACAATATACCCCTCATTCTGGTTTCTTCCGTCTTCTTCCAAAATAGGATTAGCCCTGATTAAGGTAGCCCTCAGACTGCCCATTCACACCGCCTAGCTCATAACATTCTGGAGCCTTCCGTGCTCTCTCCACAACCTGGGATCTGAGCAGACGATTGTAGCGCCCTGAGTACAGACACACTCGCACAGTGCTGCAACAAACACACATCTCACTCAAGTGAGAAGTGTCAACTGAGTGTTTGCGTTGTGCGACAATGGGTGACGTTGATTTGTGGTGTCGAGGCTAGTAGGGGAAGGTGTGGTGATGTGGCATAGCCGGCAGTTGTCTGCCGCAGGGTCTGATGAATGCACATATGTCCTAACAGGCGCATGTGGTACCTGGGTGTGCGAGAGCAGTGAGGACGGTTGAGACGGATGCGACGAGTGTATGTTGATGCTTCAGGCGCTGGTTCACCAGTCTCAAGTGACCGACCAGATCGACGGATGTGCGATCGCAAGTTGGGACCGAGTGAGGGGGATGGCTGACAGTGCGTCGGGAGCGTCTTTACAGGTGATGGGGGTGTGAGACCTGGTAGTCGTCGCCGTCATCGCAGAGGTTGTGGCAGAGATGATGGAGATGGCGGCGATCGACGGAAGCGGGACACTGGAAGTATAATCATCGGTAGTGAAGGAGGTCATCGTGGACGCCGTGGGGACTGATTCAGGGGTAACGATAAGGACAGCTGTGGAGGCAACAAATGGGGTCCTGATGTGTCTGAAACGTCAGTGCGCACGTTGGAATTTCGTTGGCAGCATGGGCATGTTGGGAAAGTCTGGGTGTCAACGTTGCTGATCGGGGCACCTGAGATTTGCGAGCCGTTCTTTTGAAGGTGACAGCGGATATCCGGCTGGCTTTATAGATTGCTGCTTTAGTCATCGCTGCCCCTCTCCAGGCCTGTCGGTCCTGCGGGGAGTTTCCAGGTTTTGAGGT